TTTTGTTTTTGTTTGGGGTTATTTATTTGTTTTGTTGATTTTGTTTTTGCTTTTTCAAGACAGGGTTTCTTTGTGTAGCCCTGGCTGTCCAGGAACTTCCTCTGTAGACCAGGCTGGCCTCAAACTCACAGAACCGCCTGTCTCTGCTTCCTGAGTGCTGGGATTAAAGGTGTGCGCCACCACATCGAGCTGGTAGTTTCTAGGAAAGGGTTCTAGGAGAAGAAAGGTGCTGCCTTTTGACTTTAGCTTCCCTGTGAACCCAGCACAGTACTAAACACTTAAGTAAAAAATTAGAGAAGATTTGATACTAGGTTCAATAATCTTTACCACAAAGTAGGGGAAATTGTTGCTTTTCCAGAGGTGTTTTGCTGTCTGCCAGTACATGACTATAGCCACCTCAGAAGCCAGAATTACACACCAGTCACTCATTCAGAAGGTATTTGTATTCCATCTTCTAGTGAGAGGTATTAGGGACCTTCCGGATGCCAGTATGAACTGATTTCTTTGATCCCATGCATACACACATGCATCTGTACGTGACTCCCACATCCTCCCAGCACTGTTACCACTTCATAAGGTGCCAGCTTGACTACCTCCAGGAGGGTGCTCCAAATCAGAATATGCCAAACCAGGTGTCTCCACATGTTTCTAGCTGCTCAATTGCCAGGCAGATATTTATGGGTACTCTTAGTCACCAGATGATTTTAAATATAAACATGGTGATTGTACAATTTGATTCTACTGATGAAAATAAACTTCTTGTTTTGGGGTGGGAATGCATTACTATTTTTAGGCTGCCAGGTTATCACTTGACTAGGTCTTAATGGGTTTTCAGTAATAAGCACTGTTTTCTGTTTTAGGGTTAGGAACAGGGAAATATGAACCTAGAGCTGCCTGTGTTTTTGTAATTTGGTCGTATGAAAGAATGAATTAGCCATTTAAAACGTAATGTTTATTATTTTAACACATTAATAATTGATAAGAGAAGGAATCCCTCTATAACCTTGATGCTGTTTATAATCTTTTTTAGATTAGGACTTTATGTTAGGGTACACTGGGGTATGAAGTAGACCACCTCATAGTTCTTTGTATTTCTCTCCTGTACTGTACAAAGACTGAGCCCTTTAGCCTCTGATTTATCCAGAGGCCTTGGCTCCAGGAAACAAGGCTGCTTGGCATGAAAGTCAGAAGACCTAAAAGAGAATGTATAGTTCTGCTTGTGAGGCACAAGCTGGAAAGCCAGCCCAGGATATATAGTAAAGTTGAGGTCAGCCCCAGCCTAGATACTGAGATCTTACTTTAAAGCGGGGGGGGGGGGGGGCCACAAAGTAGGAAAGTAAAGCACACTTAACACTGACCCAATGATTGAACCTTTGGTTGGTTCATAAGATGATGTTGGGACTTAGTTGGAAGAAGTTGATCATGTAGACTGGGGATATTCTTGTGGGTAATATCTTTCTCTGGCCCCTTCCCATATTCTCCTTTCTTTGTATCCTGATGGGCCATTGTTATAATGTTTCCAGGTAGTTTAATCACCAAGCTGGTCTGTCCAACTGCATGGTGCCAAACAGCCCTGAACTGAACCCTCTGAAACCATGAGCACAACCAAATATTTACTCCCTTAATTTTGTCAGCATCACAAAAGTAACTACTACAGAGTCACAGTTGGAGTCTGACTTCAGGGCTCCTTGAGCTGGATTTATGTGATTCTCTTACATGGCTGGTAATAGATGTTGGATCTGAGCCAGAAGCTTATTTTCCACCTCAGCCAAGAGTCAACATTGGCCTCACCATCATGGCAGGTTCTAAAGGGAGCCAGGCTTATGAGAGTGTTACAAGAGAAACAGGGATATGTGGCCTTTTATAACCTTGAAATCACATATTGTCACTTCAACTGTGGTCAGAGCAAGTCAGGCCATCTAGATCCAAGGGAAGGGAAAACGGGCTCCAGCTCTCCATGAAAAATGTCAAAAGAATTTGTGGACTTGCTCTAAATCTGTTTGCAGTTGCAGCAGCATCTAGGGACTCATGGACCTCATGGGAGCTGTGGAAAGTGTGAATGAATGTCTGTTAAGTAGAGGTGTCAGCTTCTTTGTCTGTTACTAGTTTTGGATATGCTGTAGTTTGGTCCTTGACTAACATGTTCTGTTTATTATAGGAGGGCCTCTTGTGTTTATAACTTTCCCCCTTAGAGCAGTAGGGTTTAAGCCTGTCTAGCATGTTACATGCATGCTAGATAGGTACTATACATTGAGATAAATTGTCTATTTTCTTCTTTGAGATGGGCTTCACTGACTTGCCTGTGTTGGCCTTGAATTTAGTCTGTAGTTCAGAAAGGTCTCCAATTTGCTATCTTCTTGCCTCAGCAACCTGTGTATGTTTTTGGAATGTTGAAGACACATTTGGTCCCAAATGGGTCAAAAAGCCATAGAAAAGGCAGGGTGAAAACATAGACTATTTGCGTCATTTTGGAATGCAGAAGATAATATATAAGCAAAATTTAAAAGCAAGCCACACGGAAAAGCATTTCTATCTTAAATTACATAATACATTCTAAAAAGATAACAAAAAGTCAAATATTAAACAAATTGATTAAAATCTAAACTAGTAGAAGCTAGATGGTAAGTCTGACTCTAGGCTTTTGTTGAGACTTAAATGAAATTAAATGCAGCTGAAGAGATGGCTCAGTGGATAAAGTTCTTCTTATACAAGTGTAAGAATCCTTCAGAACCTGCATTAAAAGCCAAGCAGGTGCGGTTACCAGCTGCAATCCTAGCACTTGGGAGGCAGACTGAGGGATTTCCTGAGTAAGTGAAGCTATGTAGGCTAGCCAATATGAGTGGACTCTAGGTTCATTGAGAGAGAGACCTTGACCTCAGTAAGCAAAGAGGAAAGCAATAAGGAAAAACATCCTGTGCAAGCTTTGGCCTGATATATATATGCACACATGTACATGTATGCACATGATACAGTATGTGTAAGAAAAATGAGAACGTGTTTAGAGTACTGAGTAAATGATAGTGTAGGTACTTTTTCATAGAAGGTACCTCTAAATTATTTTTAGGGATGATGAATAAAAGGGGATATAGAGAAACAATTCTTGAAATGATTTAAAAGTGTCTAGCCCAAGTATTGATTAAATGTTTAAATAAATGAAGTCTATGGTAAGTTTTCCTCAGCACCATCTGTAAGATTATTTCAGATGAGGAAAAAAAAAAAGGTACATTACTGCTGAAGATGGAGGGCATTAGTAACCTCTGTTTCCTGCTGGTGAGAATGGAAATCAGTACAGTATTTAAGGAGAGTCTTAGTTACTTACCAGTACACAAAGCATAGCCTGTGATCCAGTATTTGTACCTGTGGACAAGCCAGCCTAAAAGTAAGAAGGCTGATATGCTGAAACACTTCTGCAGCAACGGTGTTTCTTATATAGGAACATTTCAGCCAAAGCTGGCCAGTCTGCATGGTGGAATGCCTGCAGCTGGTGAGCAGTGAGGTAGCTTAGTGTAGAAACCCAGGACACACTGAAAGTGGAAGGAATAGGGAGGCCTTACGATTTTATGTTTCCAATTGTGTTTGTGTTAGAAAATGTTAGGAAAATGAAAATATGATTAGCAAAGATACTTTACTAAGCAAATACCCGGAAAAACTGTTGTCTTTGAGAGATGCTAATGTAAGGCTTTGGCTCTACACTAATGGCATCTGGGGTCTTGGAGGAGGGTTGTAGTATATGTGCTAATCAGATAGAAACCAGGAAAGAAAATAAGCAGGGATAGGTTGGTTTACAACAGTGGAACAAAAATGTAATGATAATCTCTCAAATTTCAATTTATCTTCTAGGAAATTTGTGGTAGAGTAAGCTTCAGTAAGGGAAAATACTTAGTCTTGTGTGTCTCTTTTATTTTATTTTTTTTACCTTTTTTTTTCTTTTCCAGAATACAGAAGTGGAAAGGGTTACAAACAACAAAAATATTTTACCCAATGATGTTTTTTGATACTTAGGAATTTGTTTTTGAAGAGATATTAGTGTGTATGCATACACACATACTATAGTGTGCCCATGGAGGTTAGGGCAACTTGAGGGAATCAGTTTTCTCTTCTACCCTGTGGGTCCTAGGGATTGAACTCAGGCTGTCATGTTTGGTGGCAGGCGCCTTTACCTACTAAGCCACACAAACCATAGAGTTTTTTGTTAATTAAGATAAAAAAATTTTTAATCAGAAGAAACTTTTTCCACATATGAAAAAGTTTCTGTTAATTTCGTTTCTGTTACTTCAAAATAAGTATTTTGATGGGATAGGGACATAAATCTGGAGTAGAGCACTTATTTAGTATGTGCAAAGCCAAACAAATGAAGAAAGGTGAATAGTGTCATCCCAAAGAATTATCTGTAATAGATATTTTTATACATGTAGCTTTTTAAAAGCTCTTTTAAAAAGATGTTAATACTTAACGAGTGTTTTATATGTATGTATGTATGTATGTATGTATGTATGTGTATATGTATGTATATGTACCGTATGCATTCCTGGTACCCTTACTGGCTAGAAGTGGACATTGGATCCTCTGGAACTGGACTTACAGGCAGTTGTGAATGCCATGTGGATGCTTGTAACCAAACCCAGTTTCTATGCAAGAGCAGCCAATGTGCTTAACTTCTGAACCATCTCTCTAGCCCCAGGCATATCTCTTAGGGGCTGAGTAAAAAGTGGGTAGCAGAGTAACTGAATGTTCTTTGACTTCAGTTATGAATGAGGCTTGTATCTGCAGTTTTTATGTTTAGAAGATAATCTGAGCACCTGCCATGTGACTAAGCAAGAACCACTGTTTGCTTATGGATATCTCAACCTGACCCCTCATATCCTACGTATCCTAACATAGTTGTCCTTCACTGTACAGATAACGTGTTTTTCTAAGTAATGGCTTTTATGTAACTCAGTTTTATATGATGATTTTTTTCCCCCTTCAGTTTTGTTTTACCCTCCTTGAATTTCCCACAGAAGCCCTGGAGGAGATTTGGGAGCAAAAAAGAAAAAGAAGAAACAGAAGAGAAAAAAGGAGAAGCCAAATTCTGGGGGTACCAAGTCCGACTCTGCATCTGACTCCCAGGAGATTAAAATCCAGCAGTCTTCAAAAGTGAGAGCCTGTTTTCTTACTACAGATATTTTTACCAATGCAGAAGAGATGGGTTTGGGCGGGGTAGATGCGTAGCTAGTATTTCCTTTGACTGTGTGTTGAAGGGCACAAGTAACTGGAGGGTGTTTACAGTCTCCGTGAAGCTCACTGTGGCACCCACACAACCAAGAGGTACATACTGGGCTTCTGTGTGTGTGTGTAGCCACCTCATTTCTTCTTCTCTTTGTAATAGTGTATAGATCATAGTCATAGAAGAAGTCTTTCTGGGAGCCTGGTAGGAGACTTTTGTTTTGTTTTGTTTAATTTTTTTTTAAGTTACACTTAATCTGTGATTACTTTTAGTTCAGAAGATATTCACATTTTAATTTTTCTGGGTGTCTGTCTAATTACCTGCATAGCACAACGCCATCTGGCAGCAGATTTCAGCCGGAGCAGCCATGGGTAAGTCTTCTGTTGACTTTGAATCAGCCTGGTCTGCAGTGGCCATCCCTCATGCCATTGCCAAGGGTGGGGAACACCTCCTCATGTTCTCCCTTAGGACACCCCTATTTCAGACTAAACTAGTTGTCCATCTGGGTTCCATGTTGGCAGATAGTCTGCTGGAGAGAGAGCTAGTTGCATTGTTACATAGGCCATGTGATAACCGTTGACAGTCACCCCGGTTTGTGGACATCACTCCTTCCTATCATGCAGGAGACCACATCCCTGCTGGTGTAGGAAACCAGAGCCAAAGGAACGGAATTAGAAACATAACAGAAAAAGGCGACTTTGATGATTGTAGCTTCAAGTCAATCTTTCTGGGTAGCGTGGTAGCCCCAAGACCTAGTACTTGGCCCTAGCTCATTACTCACAGTATACTGTATCTCTCTGAGCCTGTTTCCTTACCTTGGAAAGCCCATTTTCTTCTAGTCTCTATAGACTGTCACCAAGTTAAAGTGAGATCGTTCTTAATGAAGATTGCTCTGTTTTCTTAAGTACAGTGCACATGGCAGACGGCACTTGCAAATTTTGTGGATTTCAGGGTTTTTTTCATATGTCATATAAATCAGTCTGGGTGGTTTTATTGTTGTTGGTACCTGATTTATATGAAAGAACCAGGAGTCTCTGAAAAGGAGAATTACTTGGCCCAGTTTGGCCCTGAATGACTGCGAGGAGAGAACAAAGTCAAGTCTTCCTTCCTAGTTTCCCTTTTGGTCTCAGGTGATCAGTCTTCCTCTAGACGTAACTTCTAAGATAATTTGGGATAACGCATCAGCTTGCAAATATTTTTCTCATTTCTTGGTGTTGCTTCAGCAGATAAATGCATCACTTACCTGCAGTTGTGGGCAGCTCTTTGCTTCTACCATGCCATTGGCTTTACCCATCCCTTTACCCTCAGGGATTCTAAGCACTTCCTTGCACTCTGGGCACTGATAAGAAACTGCAGCCGACTGAGTGGGAGGAACTACTGTTTGCATATATGGTAGAGAGGTTTTTTGTTTTGTTTTTACTTATTTTTAATATTAGAAGCTAGTCTACAGTGTTTTAATATTGGCATTTGTTCATTGCATTTTTTTTTTTAAAGCTGGGGCACTGTCCCCCATAAACTTATGGCAGCTGTAGATAATGCCATACTGTTACAGTGAACTGCATTTAGAGAATAATCTGAACTACACCTAATGATTAAAATGAAAATGATATTTGTCTAGATTCTTAACAGATTTGTATATGTGGATCTGGGGATTGAACCCAGGACCTTGTGCATGCCAGGCAAGCACTTTACCGTCTGAGCTATAACTCCAACCCATTCTTGCAGACTTTTTAGTTGCAGAAGGTATTCAATTTAGAAAATAATAGGCAAGGGATGTAGCTGATAGTATTCTTTAGGAAGCATATGGAGAGAAAGAGGAATTCCTGCCTTTTAGGTAAGAACATACTAGTGGACAGTTAATTGGGGGCTAATGCACATTCTTGCCTTTTTCCCCAGGTGGTGATACTATGGAAGGTGAATGGATAGATTTAAGAATGTATCATAAGGTGAGCGTGATGGCGCCCGCCTGTAATCCCAGCACCCAGGAAGACTAGGCAGGAGGACTGTGAGTGCAAGGCCAAAGCCTGGGCTGCATAGGGCAACCTTTTCTCAAAAAAGAAAAAAAATAATCCTAAGGCTAGGGTCCAGGGTTTTAGCATTTGCCGAGCATGATATGCAAGGTTTCCATTTAATTTCCAGCACTTCATAATAATAATCACAAAGTTAAAATTAAAAAAAAAGATTAACTGTGAATTTCCTTACATTGACATTATAGGTTTGAAAATTGTACTTACTTGTACCTGTTTTCAGAAAGTATTTAAATAGTGAGCTTAGAATATAAATGTTTCACAAATGCCCAATATTTTTAGCATAGCCTAGTGACACTAAGTTGGTAGCACATATAAACTACTCTAGGGTCTTCCTGGAGCTGGGCTATCATTAGCTCTGTCAAAACCAAGATATTGCTTCATGATTATTGCAAAGGAATTTGCTTTTAATTTGTCTTGGAAGTCTTAACTATCAGAAAAAAAAAAAAAGTTACTGTAACAAACTCAGTGTAGGCTCTATACACAGATATTTTTTTAAGCCTGGATTCTACTTTGAATTTTCAAGCCAGAGTTAAATGTATCTTTAAGCATTGTTGTACTATGTTATAAATTTGGTTCCTGTTGTAGGTCTTTTAGTAGACTTCTAGAAATTCAAGAGGTTATTAGTTTATCAGTTACTTAAAAGTGTTCGAGAATGAAAACAGACCGAAGATTTTCTAAAAAAAAAAAAAAAAAAAAAAAAGAAAGAAAGAAAAAAAATTAAAACTAAACACTTCACATGAGGTTAAGGATATGAAATCAACAGGCCAAAAGAACAACTGAAATTAAAGCAGTTTACATATATGATTAGCTGGACATACACTATTTTGTTATAAGAATTACATTACATTTGAGTATTTGTGCTTAGTAAAATGAACAACATGCCTGAAAAAAAAAAAAGATTTAAGTGTTGTGTTCCACTGATTTCCATATCCGACTCCATGTCAGTGTCTCATTTTAAATGTAGTCTTAGTCTCCATGTATTACTGCATTTGAAGAACTTAAAGAGATGGGGAATCTGCAAAAGAAACCCAGAAATATTGGCTTTGAGAAGAGAATTTAGGAATTTAAAAATATTGCCCACTTTACCAATAAGAATATGCTTTACCTAAAAACAAGGCTAGGTTTCCATTCTTGTGTTGGGAGAACAAGCATCTGGTGCCAAGGATTAGAATTTGCGGAGAAGCTTCTCTTCTCCTTCTGTCTCAGGTTCCTTTAGTGTAAGAAGGGCTGGGTATTGTCCAGGAGGGAGCAGCAGCAGAATTAGTGTCTTCTTCTTAACCATTTCCTTCCCAGCATAGCCCTAAGGTTCTCTTTCTTTCTCTTCCCGTCCTTTCCTTCTAATCATCTCTTGTCTGTCTAGTTTCTGTTCTAGAAGTTGTTTCCTCTGCCCCTTCATTGCTGCCGCAGAGCATTAACGCTAACAGAGGCTCCTGGCTGCCTGGCTGCTGTGTGACAGTAATGCATGCCCTGCATGTCACTCTTTACCTTCTTTTCCCAGAGGAGCAGTGGGACCAGCACAGATGGGCGGGATCCTGAAGCAAAGGGTGCTCCTGTGTACTTAGCATTCCCAATCCACCAGAGCCCCCCGTTGAACTGCAGCACACTGGTAATCTGCGACAGTGCAGTTATTTTATCTCAGTATATTCACAGACAGCCTTCAGCAGGCCTCCAGGAGGTGGGGCAGTGTTTGGGAGTTACAGGCTCTGAGGCCAGTACACACGGTTTACCTGTTTTCAAAAGTGGTGGCAACTTCCTCATATTGTGTGTCTCTTTGTTTCTGCTCTTCTAGAATCCCACCATCCCTATTCAGAAGCTACAGGACATCCAGAGAGCAATGGAACTGCTGTCTGCATGCCAAGGCCCAGCCAGGAACATTGATGAGGCCACAAAGCGCAGATACCAGTTCTGGGACACACAGCCAGTGCCCAAATTGAGTAAGCTCATATGTGTGTTTCCACAAGCCAGGATGAAGAGACTTCACAGTCTTGTGTCATACACTCAAAATCAACACAAAAGCTAGACTCTGTCTTCTTAAAGTATAGATACTAAGTAGGGACATTGGTTTTCTTTAACACTGATTGTAATCTAATTGCTGTTTCTGTTACAGTATCCAATTTTCCCACATTTGAAATGTGTATTATATATTATAATTTCCTACCAAACCTTTCATATGTGTATGTGTGTAAAATGATATATAACACATTATATAGTAGAAAATATATATGTGATATATAACTATATACTATTTTATAATATGACTAAGATAGATAGTATATATGTGATATATAGCACATATATTGTACCAAAGAGAAATTGGTCTTTCTTTGTATTAATCTTTGCTTCTGAGCTTCATGAAGTTGTTTCCCCTATATATTGTATTGTTAAGATGTTTTTTCTTCTTATTGGATGCAAATGATTGTTTTGCTTGCATGAATATATGTGAACCATATGCATGCTTGGTGTCCATGGGGGCCAGAAGAAGTTAATGGGTTCCCTGAAAGTATAATTAAAAATAGTATTGAGGCGGCTGGAGAGATGGCTTAGCAGTTAAGAGCACTGGCTGCTCTTCCAGAGGTCCTGAGTTCAATTCCCAGCAACCACATGGTGACTCACAAACATTAATAATGTAATCTGATACCCTCTTTTGGCATGCAAGTGTACATGCAGGTAGAGCACTCATACATTTTTTAAAAATTAGTTAAAAAAATTAGTTTTGGGTTCTAAGAACCAAACGTGGGTCCTCTGCAAGAACAGTGAGTACTCTTAACCACTGAGCCATAACTCTAGCAACCCCCTACACTTCCACTACATTATATGTCTCAGATATTCTAAAGGACTGGGAAAAAACTTTCCTATATTCTCTCACTGAGTGGATAATTGTAAACTTCTTATCAGGGTTCTGAACACACTCTAGTGGCGTATCAATTTCGTCTCATACAGGAGTTAGGGTGCCCCTTAGAAGTAAAGGCCTTTATGGGCTCTGTTCATGTAAAGAAATGTAACAGGGTCTTGTTCCTAGAACCAGGCTTGCTTCATCAGATCCCACTTAAGACTTTCCCAAGTTAACTTGCTATAGACATAAACATTTCTTTTTTCCCCAGTAAATTATATAATTGTCATGAAAGTGTTCAAATTACATGACAGTAAAAATGTCTAACTTTGACTTAGAACTTGTGTCTACTTACATTTTGATTTTTTAGGTTTCAAACAGCATAAAAGGGGTCATTTGCCACCTAAAACTCTAAGCAACCCAGTTATATACAGATAATCCATTTTTGTTATTATAACTCAAGGAGTAATGTTTTCCAATCATTTCCTTTCCCACTCATATTCACCCCAACAGCATGATAAGAGTAAAAATCCAAGTAGGAGAGAAAGAAAGAAGAGTGGGAGGTTGGGAGTATACCTCAGTGGTAAAGTGCTTGCTTAGAACATGTGAAGCCCTGGATTCATCCCTTACATGGGGTGTGGGGAAGCTGCTTTTTGTCTTTCAGCTTCTACAAATGTGTCTGGTAATGGAGGAATATTTTTTAGAATGAGTTTACAAAGTCTTTAATGACACTGTATTTTATTCCATTTATAAGACATCTAAAATAGAGAATTAATTGGAAAAGAGAGCTTGAGGGGTGAACCAATAGCTCAGGTTATAGAGTGCTTGCCTTCTATAAACAAAGCCTTAGGTTTGATTCTCAGCACCTCTTCAGTCAGATGTGGTACATGCCTGTAATCCTAGCACTCAAGAAGTACAGACAGGATCAGAAGTTGAAGGTCATCATAGGCTACATAACAAGTTGAAGGCCATCCTGCCATACACAAAACACTGGTCCCCCAAAAAGAGTGGGAGAACTCAGAGGTTCTTAGAATTGGCCTATAGTGCGGACTACATGGCTAGCAGTAGAGGTGGGAAGAAGTAATCAATTTAGAAATTTGTTTTAGGTTTTGGTGGTAGGAGGGGTCAGTGGTCACTATGGCCTCCACACCCTCAATTTGTGGAGGTAAAATTAAAAAGAGAGAGACCCCATTTCTAAGGCTGTTGTATCAAGCCTGCATCACGGTGGAAGTAGTGTCTTGTAACCTAGGGTTGAGGCTGAGATATCACCATCATTTTATGTCATTAGGTGACATACAGTTCCTCCTGTGCTTTAACTGGTAAAATAGTCCAAAGGAATCCACAATTATTACTACATATAATTATTAATAATGTTATTTAGTTAATGCTGTTGTTATATAATAAAAGCATTATTAATATAGCTACTATTAGAGTTCCTATTACTAATATTGAAAGCATCCTTTCACTTCTGTTGCTGACCTTTGGGGATTGTCAGACTACTGGAAAATGTAATATCCTCTCTTTTTCTTTCTCTTTTTCTTCAGATGAAGTCATAACATCTCATGGTGCAATTGAACCAGACAAAGACAATATCCGCCAAGAACCGTATTCTTTACCACAAGGTTTTATGTGGGATACTTTAGACTTGAGTAATGCCGAAGTGGTAAGACTTTAAATCAACTCCTGCATTTATACACATTGTATGTAAAGTACAGAGCACCTTACACAGAACACTTGTCTTGTCTTGTAGCTGAAGGAGTTGTACACATTGCTGAATGAGAATTATGTGGAAGACGATGACAATATGTTCCGCTTTGACTATTCGCCTGAGTTTCTCTTGTGGTATGTCTGTCTGGTCATGGGCTAGTGTTGGATTGTTGAATCTGGAGGTCTTATTTTGTTCCTGTGTTCTTGGATACTAACTAATATGTTTTCTCCTCTATACCCCAGGGCTCTGCGTCCCCCAGGCTGGCTTCTGCAATGGCACTGTGGAGTCCGGGTGTCTTCAAATAAAAAGTTAGTAGGTTTCATAAGTGCCATCCCAGCAAACATCCGAATTTATGACAGGTATGTATTAAAGCCTGTGTGGTGTGTGTGTGTGTGTGTGTGTGTGTGTGTGTGTGTGTGTGTGTGTGCGCGCGCGCGCACCCTCCAAGTTATAATTAAACCAGGTTTTAAAATTACAGCGCAGAGCTGGGGTGACAGAGCTTGGTAAAAAGTTCTTGCTATGCAAGCATAAGGACCCATACCAAAAGCCAAGTACTATGATACATACCTATAATCCTGGAATTAGGGGAGCAGAGACAGGAGGGTGGGGGATGCCAGGAGCTTGCTTCCTGATTGGCCAGATTACTTACCCACATCAGCAAGCTGCAGGTTCAGTGTTCAATCCTGTCTCGAAAAACTGTGGCAAGCCATTGAGGAAGATACTAGATGTTGACTTTTAGTGTTGCCAGCTTGTGCTATACAGTAAAATTCTGACTCCAGAAACCAAAGGACAGGAGGTGTAGCTCAGTTGTAGAGTGCCTGCTTAGCATGTGAGAGACTTTAGGTTCCCCGGTACCAAAATAATAAGTAAATTAGTGATTTACTCAATATGGTTATTGATAGTAAGATGCTTGAAGGAGCTGTTTAGGAACACTTTGTGCACTGGTGCTGTAAACTTAAACTTTAGAACTCTTAACGTTAGCTTTATTTAGTTCTTGGTTTTTTGGTTTTCGGTTTTTTTCAAAGGAAAGGAAAAGTTGGACCAGAGATGAGAGGACAGTGCCATTTGTCAGTCCCTCCATCTGTCCTACTATACTTCACTCCACTTTCCCATCCATCCTCCCTCTCTCTCCCTGTCTTTTTTATTTTTCTTTTACTGTGCCTCTCAATCTCATACATGCACATACCAGTATATATATTATATACATAGAATAAACAGAGCCATTGGTAGCTATTTCTGAAAAAAATTAGCAATTTTAGAGAAGATTATACTCCAGAGGATAAGTGTGTTACATTTTTGCTTTGGATTGCCAGCCCTGAAAGTCAGATATCCAGCTGTGAAAGCCAATGGTCTAATAGCTAACATGTTTATTTACCATAGTGGGCTGCCTTGCTGACTGATAGGAGCATCTGCTCTTAAGAACACTAATTAGTTGAGCATGGTGTCAGGTACCCTTATCCCAGCACTCTGGAGGCAGAAACAGGCAGATCTCTGAGTTCAAGGCCAGCCTAGTCTACAAAGAGTCCAGAACAGCCAAGTTATACAGAGAAACCCTGTCTTCGGAGAAGAAGAAAAGAGGAGAGGAGAAGAAGATGACGACAACTGCAATTTAAATAAAATACATGAATACCCCAAGTCAGGACTGAGGTCTGAAGCTCTGGGAGGCTTATGGTAGCTTGGGAAAGCATCAACTGTGTCTAACCACAGCCCTTTTCAGGGGTCTTAGAGAACCAGTGTTATGCGCTGGCACAATACCTTGCCAGTTCCTACAATGAGCTAGCCTGGGGGTTGGGGGATAGTGTTGTTTGGTTGGGTTTTGGTGTTTTGTTTTGTTTTGTTTTTTGCTGTAATTATGTATGTTGCAGGAAAAACAAATACAGGAACTTTTTGAGGCATATCTGATCCAACATCTAAACTTATAATAGACCAAAGTTTTAAATTCTGATTGGGAATTTAAAAGTCTCTGTCCTAGAAATGATCATTCTGGCAATGGGTATAGAAAATCAAGTTCGATCTGAATTTGTGAAGCACCTGCACAGTGCAGTATTTTTCTTAAATGTTAGGTTACCAATGCCTTTCATGGTCTTATTCTTAGGAACTTTATGAAATTGTTGTTTTGCTTTTTAAAGTGTGCTCTGATTGTCTCATCTGCTTGTCAGTGTGAAGAGGATGGTGGAAATCAACTTTCTTTGTGTTCATAAGAAACTAAGATCAAAACGGGTAGCCCCAGTGTTAATCCGAGAAATAACTAGAAGAGTGAACCTAGAAGGAATCTTTCAGGCTGTGTATACTGCTGGAGTGGTTCTTCCTAAGCCTGTGGCCACATGCAGGTAATAGCATCACACAGATATCAGTGTTGTTTTTCTTTACCAGATACAGTGGGCCTTACTACCTTCTTGCTAGAATTGTTCCCATCTGATACAATCCACAGGGATTTGGATTTGCTGGGAATAGTAGTATTTTGGTAGCTGAGATAGAAACAAAACTAGAACCATTGAGTCTAGTATTCAGCATATCATGTGCCCTCTTGGGTAATAAAAGTAAAATTTACCCAATAATGATGCTGGGTAAATTAATGTTTTTGTTTCTGCTCCATTTGAAAGACAAGTGCATTTGTGCATGGGGAAACCTATGACATTGCAGTCTCAAAATGCTCATCCAATGTCACAGGGTTTGTTTGTTTTTTTTTTGTTTTTTTTTTTTAGCATCTAGACTCAGTGCAGCATTGCTGACCTACTGTGAAAACCTCACTTTACAATATCAGTTCAGAAGTCCAAATGTGCCTGTTGGCTAAGAAAGAAGGTGTGAATTGATTCTGACTTCATTAACTACTCAGGCTCTCAAAGGGAGTATAATTAAACTGTTATTGGACTAACCTGCTTTTAAGACATCAAAATTTATCTCCCTCCACAATTTCTTACTACTCAAGTAAGACTAAACTTGAAATATATATAGTTCAAAGCTATAATATTGCTATAACTTACTAAATTACTGCATTAGTAAATAAACATAAATATGAGCATCACAGGAACATTTTAATATAGATAATGTTTTATATAGCAAAACTGCAATCATATTAATTCAAAAGACTTCTTCAGACTTAGTGGGTATCTCCTATAACATACTGTTTATTTTGCAGGAATATTTTCATGATCTTAAAGTTCTTAGTTCGACTCACATGAAACTCATTAAAAATTTATACACCTCCTTTATTAAACAAAATAAAAAATATTTAAAATGTAACATTCTTTTCAGGAAGAGATGAAAGCCCACAAAGGCAAAAGGAACAGCATAACTAGCAATGCAAGTCAATTTGTCAAATAGTTTGTTTTTTGTTTTGTTTTGTTTTGTTTTGTTTTTTAATCTTCAAACAAATTAATGCATAGGAAGGCAGTCAGTGCCCATCACTGTACCTGGTACAGTATTAAACAGATGCTTCTGGAACAGCGAAGACAAAGTGAAACCATTGTCTTCCAGGTACTGGCACCGATCCCTGAACCCCAGGAAACTGGTAGAAGTGAAATTTTCTCACTTGAGTAGAAACATGACCTTACAGAGAACAATGAAGCTTTACAGACTTCCGGATGTAAGTAAGGGCATGTATGACTTTCTGAGTCTGCATCCACTGAAGCTTTTAATGCAGAGCAGTAGTATTAACATCAGACTGGAGCTGTGCTTGTGTTGGGGAAAGGAGAATGCTGAAACAGAACAGACGGTGTGAGATTCCAGAGCTGGGAAAGTGGGGAATTTACTCAGGAAAGTTTTGTTTTTCAAAGTCTTTTTAAGTTCATGGTTTTAGAGTTGTATGTGATTAAATTCAAGTCAAGGGAGTTCTGTTCTGTTTTGTTTTCTTCCAAGATAGTTTCTCTGTGTATCCCTGGCTGTTGTAGACTCGCTTTGCAGACCAAGCTGGCCTCAAACTCACAGAGCTCTGCCTGCCTCTGCCTCCCTGAGTACTAGGACTAAAGGCATGTACCACCGCACCCGGCTGAGTTTTGCAGTTTTGAGTATTGTCCCTTAAGTAATTAGGACAAATCCTTTTACTTTGTGACACCATAAACTCAGTGTTCAGGTTTAAAGAAAAGTTGGGAGATAGAAAATAATGTTGTATTCAGTTGTTATCTCTTTCTTTTCTAGTTCAGCAAATTTTTTTTGTAACTCTTTAGACAGGATCTTGCTTTATAAGTCATGGTGTCTTAAAATTGGTTCTGTAGCTTAGGCTGGACTCAAAAACTTACAGTCTACATGCCTTAGTGTCCCAGATTTTGGGATTGCAGGCAAATGCAGCAGTCTTGGAAATTACCGTGTTTTCTTCTGTTTGTGTGGTGTATATAGTATGTGTACATGTTCATAAGTATATGGATGCCCAGAGGTAGATATGTGTGTGAAGTCAATTGTTGATGTCAGTGTCTTTCTCTGTCATTCTCCATTTTATTTATTGAGGCAGAGTCTCTCATTGAATCCACATTCAGTCAGTTTAGCCAGCAAGCTTATCCTAGGGTTCCCTATCTGCCTTCTGAACACTGGGATTACAGTTGGGCCACCAGACCCATGAGTGTGCTGGGGATTCAAACTCAGTTCTCAGGTTTGTGCAGCAAGTACTTACTTTAGCCACTGAACCACCCCCTTCCACTTTACCTTTTTAAACTACTGGATTCACAATATGAAATATTGTCTTAGTAAAATAATGTAAATATGGTTGGATGTCATATTCTGTATCTCTTGCTGCTTGTCACAAACTGAGCAGCTTCAAACAGTATGTTTAAGCCAGTCATAGTGGCACATTCCTGTAATCCTGAGGCAGGAGAATAAAGAGGTCAAGACCAATCAAGCTACATAAAAGTATCCTGTTTGGGACTGGAGAGGTGGCTCAGCAGTTAAGAGCACTGGCCCCCACATGGTAGCTCACACCCATCTGTAACTACAGTCCCATAGGGATTTGGAGGCCCTCTTCTGACCTCTGGGGGCACCATACATATGTATATGCAGGCAAAACACACATACACATTTAATAACATATGTCCTGTCTCAGCAAAACAGCATGCACATTTATTTTCATATGGGTACTGAGACATAGGTACCACTTTACCTGAATCTTCTTTTTCTAGCCATCTAGATGTCAGTCAGAGTCAGAGTTTTGTACAAACTGACTGAGGAAAGATCCACTTGTTGTCTCAGAGGGTTGTTACAAGGATTGGCTTGCCTTCTGGCTGATGGGCCGAGAGCCGTTTTAGCTTTTCAGCTACCACAGGCTTTTTTTCAGTTCCTTGTCACAGGGTCTTCTTCACAGGGCAACCTATAGCCTGGTAGCTTAGTCATCAAAGTCAGTAAGGCAGATTATAGAAAGGGAATGTCAGCTGGATGAAAACTGTGTAGTCAAGTCCTAAAAGAGACCTCCAGTCACTACTATTGATTGGTTAGCAGCCCTCTGTGCCCGCTAGGAACAGGCCACATCAGGCATGATGTCTAGAAGGGGGGCAGTCCACGGACCACTCTCACGTACAGGTGAGATCTTTGACTTGATGTTTTCCTGTTTGTGAATTGAAATTAAAGCCACAGCCATACCTAATTTTTTACCAGCTAAGAATTCTGTTATATATTATGTATATTAGAATATAATATATTCTGTTAGGTGCAAAATAGTCTAGCTTATTTTTAAGGAAAATACTTACATGGAGGTTGCCTAAATGGAACCGACAATAAGCGGTTCTATTACCTGTCCCAACTTTCTTTGAGATAGTTAAAATATAAGACGCTAAAAATACTTTCGACTAAGTTGACGTTTATATTTTTTGTACAAAAAATAATCTCATAGATAACAAAGTTTAGTAAATTGGTGCTAAATCACTAGCCAGGCTTTTGTTCTAAAAGCAGACTTTGACATGTTTCTTACAGTTGGCAGTGTTCCTTCAGTAGCAGCCATTGTTTTTCAAAGTATGGATTTTTTTGCTGAGTGAGCTTAAGTTTATAACATGCTTTTACATATATAATTCAGTTTAGTCTCACAACTTCAGAAGTTAGCACGTCTTCTTTCTGACATACACATGCAAAACTGAGGCTTAGGAAGGTTGACATGTAGTCCTAGCCATAAAACCAAGAAGGCTAAGACCTGTGATATCCTATCTCCGGGCTTCAGAGAGTCCTGCTGCTGCTTGCTCTCACACATAGGAAATGTAACATGCTCCAGTTAACTAGGAAAGTTTCTTTGCTTTATCTTGAATCCCCAGAAAACATGACTATTTTATTCAGTTATACAAAAGCATCCTGTTTTTCCTTCAGTTTAGGTCTTAGCACTTGTTCTTAAAGACGGCCATAATTGTTCAGCTTCTTTTGTGTCACTGAAAATTCACACATTTCACACTGAGCTATGAGAAAGTAGTTTCTAGGTGCTGACATACAGACACATTTTAGATGATTTTAGTCTTTAACATTCAGAAATGCATATTTACTTATTTCTAGGTGGGACTGAACTTTTTTTTTTTTTCCAGTGCTTGGATTTAATCTTGTACACACTAGGCAAGCATTTGTCCACTTTGTTATATCCTCAGAGGGACTAGATGTTTCTGATCTTTTGAAAGCCACAAAAAGATTAATAAAAGTACGAACTGCTTACTCAGTGTTAACGATTTAGTTCTCCAACTTTAGATAATTGAATGGTATTTTAGTGGCAGTTCTGTATCTTTATAAAGACCATGTAGCCCATCCTTGAATAGGTTGTTACAAATGCTCAGCTGAGAACTCCTGGACCTGTCTGTAAAGCATGCATTGCCAGCTTTTCTGCCTTCCTTTACACTAACCAGTAATCAGTCAACACTTGCTCAGAGCCTTGGGAACCCTCCTGGTAATAGTTGTTTGTAGCTGCCACTGAAGATAAAACTGGCTCTCCCTCTTGGACTTCTATGCACGATCTTTCAGAAAGTATAATGATCTAATTCTAGAAATTTTGTTGTTTGGGTTTTTTAAATTTAGTTACTTAGTTGTCTGTGTGTGTGTATGCACATACATGGTACATGTGTGGAGGCCAGAGGACAACTTTGTAAAGTTGGTTACAGATGCACATCACTGCATCTGGCTTTTATAAAAATGTGGATTCTGGGGATCAAATCTAGGTTGTCAGGCTCTCATAGCAAGTACTTTTATCTGATGGGTCTTCTCCCAGGCTCTAGAGATTTTTAATTTAGAAATTTTACAAGCAATTGAGAACAAAAAGCATATTAACAATATTTATGCTACTTACCTCTTAAAATTATCCAGTATTTCTCCAAGGGGAAAAAGCATAAATTTTTATGATACTTTTCATATATGTTAAATTCTTCGCATGTAAATCAGCTTGTTGTGCTCCATTTGATATGTTTGAATAAGAAGATAGGACACTTTATCTTTGTGGGAGTGCATTTCATACATTTGCCACTAGCATGGGTGGAAATCAAAGTACAACTTGTGGGAGTTGCTTCCCTCGTCCACCGTATGGGTTCTGGGGATGGAACTCCATACTCAGAGTTGGCAGTGGGCTTTCTTTACTCCCTGAACCATCTCACCAGCCCTCATCATCTTACTTTTTATTTTAACAGTCAGTCTCAGTAAGCTGCCCAGACAGACCTTGAACTCACTGTATCCCAGTCAGGCCCTGACCTTGCAGTTTATTCCCATGCCTCATCCTTCCAAAGATCTGAGATTCCATAGACCCAGCCAATAGAGCCAACTTTGGGCTTTAATGAATCCATGGTATACTACAGGTTCTGATTCACCAAAGCGAGTCTGGAGCCAAGGGTCTCCAGGTCTAACCACTCCCTTAGGCATTGTAGGGCTGTGGGCCATACTTTGAACACAGTAATTTCATTTTATTCTTCTTCCATTTAACTTGTGGCTTTGCTTTGTTTTACTTCTAACAAGGCTACAAAGACTTCAGGCTTGAGACCAATGGAACCAAAAGATATCAAAGCAGTACGAGAACTCATCAACAGCTACCTTAAGCAGTTTCATCTGGCACCAGTGATGGATGACGAGGAAGTGGCCCATTGGTTCCTCCCCAGGGAGCACATCATTGACACATTTGTAGTGGAGGTAAGAGAGCTGAGGAGGTAGTCCTGAGAAGAGGCTAGAGCTTCTTTGAGGAGGATCCATGACTCACTGCTTCTGCTAGCCCTGCTATAGCTGCATACACTCTTTCACTGAGACACTTTCACTGGTTACTGAAGGGAAGTTGGGCTGCTTTTCTGTTGTCTGCTGTGCATTTGTTCTTCTCATTATGAAAAGCTAATAATTAGTCAGTGCCTCAACCTAGATAGCTCTGTTTTAGAGTTTACTATTATTTTAGCTTTTATATAACTGGCTAGATCTGAAATGCCATTAGATTTAGATGACAAGCAAAGATTGGGTCCCTTAACTCTTGTTCAAGGGAGGGAAGGAAAAGGAGCTGTGTAAATACTCTGACCATTGCTTAGATGGATTTAACATGTTTTTTATCAACCTTGTTTGACAAAGCCTGGAATTGGTTGTTTAGATGTTGTCTCACTTGGAAGCTCAGTGGGTTGAAGTGAGGTTGAACTGAGAAAATGGAATTTAGTTTGGCAAGCAATTTGGAAGATAATGGAGAAGGCCAGTTAGAAGGGATTCTAGAGAGTTGCTTTATCACTGTGACCAGAACTGTTACTTACGCAGTGTCAAGAACTGTTGGCCTTAGGATCATAGGTCCAGTTTTAGGGCAGTTGTGGAGAGACTGACCCATGGTAAGGATGACTCAAGACACTTCTAATGATAAGTGAGCAGGTAGTCTCAATGCTTGCACTTCTAAAACCTCTTTGTACACAAATTACACCTGTGTGTCTCCAGGGCCTTGGAAACTGTCCACTGTCTAGAACCCCGGAGAGCTTCCATGTAGATGAACTAGATCAGTAGCTATTTACCATGTTCAAAGTGTAATAAGGTTTTGACATTTGTCTCCATGTAATAATAAAACAAAAAGTAAAGCCATTGCATGTTACCTAAAGAACATCTTATATATAAAAACTAATTTTTCTATTGCAAGAGCTGGAGAGGACAGGAACTCCACAAGGAGAGCAACAGAACAAGAAAATTTGAACACAGGGAACTTCCCAAAGACTCATACTCCAACCAAGGACTATTCATGGAGATAACCTAGAACCCCTGCACAGATGTAGCCCAGGGCAGTTAGTTTAGTGTCCAAGTGGCTTACATAGTGATGGGAAGAGGGACTGCCTCTGACATAATCTGATTGGCCTGCTCTTTGATCACCTCCCCCTGAGGGGGGAGCAGCCTTACCAGGCCACAGAAGAAGACAATGCAGCCATTCCTGATGTGATCTGATAGACTAAGATCAGAAGGAAGGAGAGGAGGACCTCCCCTATTAGTGGATGTGGGGAGGAGCATGCATGAAGAAAGGGGAGGAGGGAGGGGCTTATGGGGGATACAAAATGAATAAAGTAATTAATAATAAAAAAATGGAGAAAAAAAAAAAAGAGAGAGAAAGCCCTGACACAACATTATGAGACCAAAAAAACAAACTAATTTTTCTCACAAAAAAATAGCGAAAGAATAATTTCAAGCTTTTTAAAATCATGGGACTTTTCCCTGGTTTTGCTTTCAGTTAATTGTGACATACCCACCTTGATTGAAGTATATGGAAAAGATTTCCCATGAAATAATGAATATTTGAAAATCAGTGGGTAAAAATTGTCATTTTTCTTTTCACTACAGTATGTATGCAGGGTGTACTCAGGCCTACTGTGTCACTCAGGCTGGCTTTTACCGTGTCCTCAGAGGCCAGAAGGAGGGTATCAGCTCCCCTGGCACTAGAATTATAGACAGTAGTGAGCTTCCATGTGGATACTAAGAATCAAACCTGGGCCCTCTGAAGAGCAGTCATTGCTCTTAGATACTGAGCCATCTCTCCAGCTTCTGGCTTTAAACTGATGATTCTCCTGCCTGAGCTTCCTGAGTGATGAGATTACTAATGTGCACTACCACACACAACTGTCTTCAGATAATTACGAATTCTGTTGTCTGAACTTTTATCAGCTTTCTGTTGAACTAAAACTCATCAGTATGTTCTTCCACACTTTTGTCCTGTTCCTGTGTGCCCCTTCCCCAGCACAGTTTTTGTATACGCTAAGCAGATTCTTTACCACTAACTTTTTTTTCTAGTTCTTTGGATGAATCTTGCTTATATACAAGTTTGTAACATCACACATTGACCACTTGGAAAACACTGATTTACTGGGTTAACAGATCTTTCAGATATTTACATTTCATTAGATAATATTTAAAAATCACAGTCATGGGTAAGACCTTTGTCATCAGAAGATTTAAGATATCACATGGTAGGGGATAGGATGGGATTCCCCCCCTTAAAACTTTAACTTAAGACTTCAAAAACTCAAATGTTATTGGAAAACAAATCTTGTCAGTTTGTTTTTTCCCCCCTGAAATAACCAGCCCTCATTATTCACATCTAAGAAAATATGCCATAAACCAAAGCTGAGTGGTCATGTGCTTTGAATTGGTCTTATTCATCACTGGGTAGCTAGCTCAGCATGCAGCCATATTTCTTCCTGGCAGCAGCCTATATACATGCTTCATGGGTGGGGAAGGCAGCCTCTGTCCTTATCCTGGAAAGCTGCAGATCTGCTTCTTGCACTGTCCTGCAGAGTGGAGATTTCTCCATCACCCTGGAGGAACTCTGCGTGGAGGACCAGCTTTGGAAGTGCTTGCAATATCCCACTCACACTTCAGCTAAACTTCCAACTCTCTCTACCCAGTTGAGAGGGCTCAAACTGGGTTACTAAGAGGACAGTCTCAGTTTTTTGTTTGGACAGAAAGTTGGGTGTAAGTCACAGGTCAGTATCAGTTGGCTGAATGCTTATTCAAAGAAACACTACTTTTGCTTACCTTTGTTCCTCAGAACCCCAGTGGGAAGCTGACTGACTTCTTGAGCTTCTACACGCTCCCCTCCACAGTTATGCACCACCCTGCTCACAAGAGCCTCAAAGCTGCCTATTCCTTCTACAACATTCATACAGAGACACCCCTGTTGGACCTCATGAACGATGCGCTCATTATAGCCAAGTTGGTGAGTGTCATGTTGCTTTTCATACTGCTTGGTTCTCCTTAAGCAAATCAGTCTATACTGATAGGTTCCCTGTAAGAGCAGTGTGGTTCTTTAACTAGCACTCTCCGCCAGCTGTCTTTACAGTACATGCTTAAACTGCTGCAGAGGAATTGAAGGTTATACGGGAATATATACTACAAAGAATACCGTAAGCCCTTGGTATAATAAACCTTAAAACTGTTTATATTGGCAGAAAGGATTTGATGTATTCAATGCACTAGATCTTATGGAAAATAAGACCTTCTTGGAAAAACTCAAATTTGGTATAGGAGATGGCAACTTACAGTATTATTTGTACAACTGGAGGTGTCCAGGGACAGACTCTGAAAAGGTGAGTGAGCTTGATACAACAGCCCCATACCAGCTTTAGGATAAATTTCTGTTGCTTTTAGTTTCTGTGGGGTAGGGGTAGAAGAGAGAGAGAAAGGAGAGAGAAATTGCAAATGGAGTCAAGTTATTTCAGACAATCCCATACTACTTTAGGGTGGAGGGGGCTTTTATATATTTAGAGTGTGTGTGTGTGTGTGTGTGTGTGTGTGTGTGTGTGTGTGTGTAATATGATGTGTGCCATACCCATGTGCCACAGCATATGTGAAGATTAGAGGAGAGCTTTGAGGGATCTGAGGATTTCTACCAAGGTTCCATAAGGCTGGTGTGGCAAGTGCCTTTGCCCTCTTAGCTAGCTTAGCAGCTCAAGGGGACTTTTTAAAATTCAGATATATTGTGCTGTATTATAATTCAGTTTCCTCTTCTATTTGGTCTTACGATCCCATTTTTCTTTCTTTAGGTTGGACTTGTTCTACAGTAGATGGATATGTTATTTCTAGAAGGCTGACATTGTCATTTGTTAATATTCTATTTAGTGATTCCTGGAACTGTCATTCCAAAGAAGAATAAAAGCACAAGTTGAGTGAAATTGAAGTAGTCGCTAACAATCAAAACAGATGGTCAGTAGGACCTGTTTCTAGTCAGGATATTGAGAGCCAGTCTCTGCTGTTGACTGACATGTGGGAGGGATGACGGTGTCCACAGAGCTCTCACAATAGAGGATGCTCTTTTACTCTAGAAGTGGGACTGTGTTTCTGTAAACCAAACAGAAGTGGCAGCGTCGTGTTACCACCTTTGCTGCTTTTGTTTATTAATAAGTGGTGATACACTTGTAAAACAGAACAAGGATCCATGTGTATCACCTTACATGATGTTACTGGGAACGTTTATAGAATTGACATGTGGTAGATATTTAACGTATGGAGCAATATGAAAATGTACCAGTGACTTAGCACATTTATTATTCTACAAGCATAGTAGCCAAATCAGTACATATACAGGTTTGTCCTTTGCTCTTCAGCAGGCCAATGGATTGTTTCAAAAGCAAAGTTTGGGGCAAATGTTCAGTGTGCTCAGTAAAGAGTGCACCACTGACTGCTCAGACCTTGTGGCTGCTGTGCAATGTCATTTCTCAGTAATGTCAAGGATGTGTGAGGGAAAGAAAGTGAAAAGGCTCTAAGGTCAGAGGAGTGTATTAGTGCTGTCAGCACACAGATGGTCTGAATGTTTTTATTATGCAAAATTGCACATGTTCCTTTATGCTGACTTTAATTTATCATAAAAATTGTCATGCTAATGGAAAATGTCTTACTTGTAAATAAGTATTCATAATTTTGTTACTGACGTTGTTTTTACCTAGAATTTGAAAAACAAGTTTCACAGTGTACATATATGTGTATATGCTGCCACTGATCCAAGGGAATATAAAATACTAAACAAGGCCATTGTATAGACTGGGCCTGAGTCAGATGCCACAACGTAGATACTTGTTCCTGCCTTTACTACAGTGCCTCCAACTCCAGTCCAGAACGCTACTGCAGACAATATGGCATTTCCTTCCCTACTGGAAAGCACTCGCCAAATGTGAACTGTAGGCCAAGTCTCACTATACAGCTCACAAGCTGAAAATGGTCTTTTTTTTTTTTTTTTTAATGGTTGGGGGAAATAGTCAAAAAAATGACATTTTGTGGCATGCAAATCTTATGAAATTCAAACATTTTTTCAGAATACAGTCATCTCTTCATTTATGCCCTACCTGTAGCTGCTTCATGCTACAAAGGGAAATGAAGTAGCTGTGACAGACTGGACTGTATTGCTTGCAAAGTTAAAATGTTTGCTGTCCGGCCTCTTGTGGACTGGTGTCCTAAGTAGGCCACAAATTGTGCCATCCCTGATAGCACCACTAGAGGGGACACCTGGGCCCCAGAGTGGGACTAGTACTGCTCCCAGATTTCTCATTTCATAAGGTCCATGCCCAATGGTGTCACATTTTTAACAGAACGCCTTCAGGATATAAAACTACCTATTCATTGGAACAGTTTTAAAGTTAGGCATTAGGTAAGCGTGTTTAGTGAACCTGGATTCACAACTCTTTGGGAATTGTTACATTTTTTTTTTTTTTGTCTTACATAAATTGAGTTTTCAGGTAAGAATTGCCATTCAGAAATTTGTCATGGGCTTATTTACCTCAATAGGACACTGTTAAACCATTCCTTTAGAGATCTGTCTACTGCACACTACAGTTATAAAACTATCATTTTAAATACACCGACAGTTAGGACTATTGTCTTCAAAATTTAAGGACATGACCAGTCGGTATTTTAGAGAATCAGTAACCAGTGCATCTGCTTGGATATAAAATAGCTGTTAAAACCAAGTGTAAAAGCCAGTCTCCAGAGTTAAATCTGTACTATATATTCAAATTGTGCTGTAAGGTTTCTTTCCTTCAAAAAAAGGAAATTTGTCACCATATAGAACAAAGGTGGCACAGCCTTTAAGTTCAACCAAAACATGGGGTGAAGTTTTAGTAATTCCGTTTACCTTCTAAATTACAGAATGATTTTCTAGACACATAGTAGATTCATAAAGCACTGATAACTCCATTTCCTAGCCTGAAAGACCCCTCATTGTATCTCCCCTCTTGCTACATTTCACCTAAGTTACTACTGTAGTTAATTTTTGTTTTGGTGCTGGGATCAAGCCAGGGATTGTATGTGCTAGTAAGCACTTATTTTGCCACAGAGCTGTACCCCAATGTACTTTTGATAGATGATGTGCAGGGAGGGAATTCTTACTGATACAACCTTATCAGGCCTTTCTCCCAAGCCTGCGTCAGTGCTTACCTACAAAGAAAGCCAAATTACCACAAAGTAAAAATGATATGCCGCTTCTGAAGACAATGTACTGCTTAGCATTTAGTGAGTCTCCCTTGCAACTGAGGACCATCTCCAGTTGCTTCACCTACCTTACTAGACCATGTCTGTGGCCCATTTTCCAAGTTTGGTAGAGAAATGTTAAGTGCTGTAGGAAACTGATACTCTTGCAAGCAAGCATTGTACCAGCCTTTAAAGCAGTGAATTTATATACGCATGGACATTAGTCTCAATAAACTTTGGTTTTGTTAATCGTTTTGAGTGTTTTCTGTACTTGACATGCTTTAAGTTTCAGCATGTCTGCCCACCCAGTTAGGAAAACACCTCCATGCAGGGTCCTAAGAACATACGTAAACATATTTGCCTTTGTTTGTTTCAAAGCTTATTTAGACCATGTTCTTACATGAAATGACAAATTCATATAAAACTACTTTGAAACAGATTTTTTAATTTTGGGTGGTTTCCTTATCTTACTAGGGTTGGGAAGGAGTTTCTTTATTCTAAGGGGTTGTAATGTTGCAGCTGAAGCCTGGCCACCTTCAGCAAGCTTTCTCTTACTAAGTTTTGTAACATCATCAAATGAAGTGTCCGCAGTGTCTTTATCTTGGCTTTCCAAAGATTCAGTCTCTAAACTGTCTCTGGGATCTTGGGTTCTGTCTTGAAGCCATGGCACATTTAAGCTGGGCACCCTGGGAAGGATGGCTTGTACTTCCTCAGCGAAGTCCACAGTGTTCTTTCTGAAGCCCAAGGCTAGCACACATTTTAAGCCAATGACAGGAGCAATTCTCTGGCTGAGCTGAGGAACCTGACAGGCAGGAACAGTTCTGCTTACACTCAGTTGAATCATGTGTGAGGTGATCATGGCAGGCTTAGCCGACTTACACACTAGAACCAGGAGCAGTTCGTTCCTTTCCAGGGCTCTGGTGACTTCATTAACGCCAATGACCAGCTGTTTCCTGACGTGTGCAGGTGTCCACCCTGACACCTGCACATGCCCTTCAGGCACCTCCTCTTTTGGATCATCACTAATCTCAACATCCAGGCTGCATCTTTGCTTTTTTATAAAAGATGTTTTTTTCCTTTTCTTATCTTCAATTTTCTGAAGTCCAATTGATTTAAACTTGTCTTCGAGTGTCTGTAATATAAAGTGTATGTCCTCTCTCTCCAAGGTACTCCAGGAAATAACGTATGGGTTGTTGAGTGATGTCTTTACAACCAGAGGTCTAGTCTTCCGAATAGATCCCCTCTTTGGTGCCTGAGGGGCTGCAGCCATCTTGAAACCCTTTGGAAAAAAACAAAATTATGTAGTTAGCAATGCATTTGAGAATATTTTGGTTATATTCTCCAGTCTTTTTATTTTTATTCCAGATTGATATGCTACAGCAAGTCTATATAGGCCCAACTAGGGAACCATTCAAATAACTTCACAAAATGAAGTAATTTTAATTTTTCCTATTTTTTCATGATATACAGGCAATGTGAGGATGATTGTAAGGAGATCATTTTTTTAGCATCTTCCAAACTAATTGGACTTTCACTCATTTATTTAAAAAAAGGTAAAACGTTTATTAGGTTTGGAGTCATGTCAGAGCACACATGGAGTTCAGAGGACAGCTCTAAAAAAGTAGGCTCTCTCCTTCCACCATGTGCACCTTAGGGAGTTGAACTCAGGTAATAGGTAGGCCTGGAGGTAAATGCCTTTACCCTCTGAACCATGTTGCCAGTCCCTCATTCATTCATTTATAAGCACATACTGAGTTGCTCCACTGGGCAAATGGTGGTCTAGTCACAGCTGTCGGTAGCCTCTAAAGACCGTGTCTGCCCACAGTTTATTTTCTATAGACTGAAATTCATAATTAACCAGGTCAGATTTTAAGAATAGTAACCTATGTCCATGGCTAAAACTTGCACTCTGCTTTGTAAATCTCCCTCCTCTCATGATGCCAGAGTTCCTTCCTAAAACACTTGAAACATACAGGCACATATTCTTCACATTATTATAAGATGACTACTTTGGCTGGCAATTTCATGAAAACTAAAGGTTTTGGGATGAAATTCGGAGAAATTAATCCATTAGGGAGAAATAAAAGGGCTCTCAGCTCTTTCCGGAAGTGTATTAGAAGCCATTAACCTATTTTTTCCCTAGTGACTATATGGTACTAACCTTACAAATTAGGGGTTCTCAACTGCTCTCTTGTTGGGCATGCATTAGTTAGATCCTGTTTGTTTATCCTTCCTAAAAGCAGCTGTTTATTTCCTTCTCTCAGCTGTTTTCTCCTTCCTAAAATTCATCTGAGAACTCTAAAGATCCAGCTGATAAACTATAAACGCACGTTCCCTCTTAAGGTTCCTCTAATTCAGGGCACTTTCTCCACATACCTGGTTCCCTAACATGCCTACAGAGTTCCCCAGTATGGATTAGGAAAAAGGCTCACTGTCCAAACACAGGACTAGTTTTTCTGAAGACGTCTTTTAATTATGGCTCCATCTTAGAAATAACCTGTGGCTTTTAAGAACACACAGATGGCTGATTTTCACCCTAGAGCTACTAAGCTGGAATTTCTGGGAATGTAACTGACCCATTGGGCCAGTAAAAAAGCTGCCCAAGTGATCTGGAAAAAAAAAAAAAAAATCAACATTTGGAGGTATTGGGTCTGGGACAGGTGGCGTTTCCAAACTGGACGGCTGTAAAAACTGGTGCTGCAGATTCACTCTCTGCTGATCTCACCTTCTACATAGAGCCAGAATTCCTCCAGTGAGAGCTGTAACTTGACTCCATCAGTGCTGCCCACATCGGCTGCGTCCTTCCCACAGTGCACTACACTCCCAAACAACCCCTCATTAGTTCTGTGCTCCCCACAAGCTCGAGATTCAAGAACAGGAGGGAAGTGACTGGCAGCAGCTAGTACCTAGCTATAGGTGGTCAAACAATGACCGGAAAGCAAGACCACGTGCCACCACAGCTCTCGCTAAACTGCAAATCAATTACTGTCTGCCTAGCCCATCAATGTAAGGGACAGCAAGATGGGGATTCACGTGTCTGATACACAAGAACCTGGCAAAGATGAAAAAAGCTGAGTCTTCAAAGGTGACCACCATGCACTATGAATTTTAAAAACCAAAACAAAAACGCTCATTAGTAAGAACAGGTTCACAGACGGAGTAAAACAGGGTGGACTTGCACAAGTGTCTTGCCAACTCGGTCTGCAAGCTCCTACTGCCTAAGGATCACCTGGAAACACGGAGGTTTACCTTTTTTCACCCACCAAGCATATTACAGATTCCGACTATTTAATGTGTGGTACACCGCGCACTTACACCGTCTCTTTAAAGCCAGAACAGTGAGGTGCGTGAGGGAGCAGACAGCAGTGGCCTTAGTTGAGAGGGTCAGGGTGAAAACGGCTCACTGGAGGCAAGCTCTATCCAAAGAACTCCTTCCAAAGGAAGCAGGAAGCGGTCCACGAGGTATCCCAGAAGAGGATTAGAACAGGTTCAGTGTCGCTCGGGCAGAGATGCTGGAGAGCTGGGGTTACTGGGTCTGGGCAAGGCGGTGACTCCAGAGAGCCTGTCGGGAGAGTGGCGCGATTGGAAGGGGTCACAGAAAGCCCTCGGTCCTGAGAAGGGACCCTGGAAAGGCCGCCGGCTGCAGAGAAGCCCCCGCGGTCTCGGAGGAGGCCCCACACGGAAGAAGGCAAGCCCCGGCGGCAGGGGTCGGCCGTGCGGCCCTCAGGGGGACCCGCGCCGGAGGGCCGCAGAGCCCGCCCGCAGCCCCTTTCCCAGCCCGCGGGGCCCGGGAGCCCACGGGCCGGGACTCGGGCCCCAGCACGCGCCCACCTGTGCAGAAGCGCCCTGCGGGGAGCGCGGGACAGACCGACCGCTGCCGCGACCCGCGGGCCCTCACCGCCAACCGGAGCTCGGGACGCACGTGCGCGCGCGCGCCTGCCCCGCGCGTGCGCACAACCCAAGCCCTGGCGGCCCGGCTTCCGCCTGCGTGACGTCACTCCGCCCGGTCCGGGACGTCAGGCCTAGCGGAGGGCGGTTCTTCCGTAAAATCCCTCCGCTCGGGACAAAGCTCGGGGGCAGCGCTGCGCAGGCGTGCGGTCTGTCTCGCGAGAGGCTGTGGCTGCATCCGCTCTCGCTCGGGAAACCGAGCCGTTCCTCGAACCTGTTCCGCGCCACGAAAACCAAATAAACTCGGGTTGTAGGGTTGCGGGCGGTTACAGTTAATGCATGTGGAGAATCCTGAGCCCTCGGAAAGGGAAATAACGGGCTGCAGCACTCCAGAATAGCCTGGCAGTGTCAGTTGCGCCCGCTGCACCAATGCAGACAAAAACGGTTATGGACAGGCTCACGAGGGTGTGATGGACGATTGGTAAAGCAATGCAATAACGCGCTGAAGATTTGAAAATCAGCTGGATACGCTTGACAGAATCATTTTTATCTTTCTGACCTTTTCTAATGAATTTGGGAGGCTCGGTATCTTCCTCCTTTTCTAGGTCTCTTCGTCATTTGAGACTCTGAAAGAGTCTAGCTTCTATATTTCATTACCACCTATTGGGCATAAGTTAAACAGAACAAAGTGCTGCTTTGGGCCAAACACCGTTGCAGTTTTTACAGGAAAAGTGTTTTCATCACAAGTAAAAAGAATGAAGCCAGGACAAGTTTTGAGTGCACTGACAGGCTTTCGTTTCATTAAACGTTGTTTACTCTAACCTGCAGTCATGTAGCGCGAAAGACAAGTTGCGATGGCAGAATTGAAATACTAAAGTTTCATGTAAAATCCTGGCAGGTGGGAAACTAGGGTGGGAGGATCTAGAGTTCAAGGTCAGCCTGGATTGGTTACTTAGGCCACCAACTGGAGCTAAGGAACCAGAACCTACCTGCTTACACACACAAACACAAACTGGAGCTACGGGCCAGAACCTACCTGCTTACACACACACACACACACACACACACACACACACACACACAGAGTTGGGGTGGGGGGAACGGGGGAAAAAGAAATAGAAAAGAAAGAAACCAGAAAAAAGCAGAGGCAAGAGTAAGGGGAAAAGAAGGAAATGGCTGTGAGTGGTGTCCCGCTGAAGTTCCAGAGCTCGTTTACCTGTGACCTGACCTAGCACTAGGTCATCTTTTCAGCTCTTACATTACAGGGCTCTGCAGACAGGCTGCTAAGGTGAAACCCTAACCTTACCGCACAGTGTACCTGCGCCCCAGGCAAGTTAATTGGCCTTCTATGGAGTGATAAAAATAGCACCTATTCTGAGGATTAGAAGAGAGTTCCGAGTAAGGTGCTTACTACACCGATGGCCATATAGTGTCTGACAGACGGAACCGCGATGGCCCAGGGACAGCTGTAGCAGAATTAATAAAAATTAAATATATCCACTACTATTCTAGTTCTTGTTTTCCATTTGAAGGCTTAGCAATGTTGTCACAAGATTTTTACCAAAAGGAATATATCTCAAAGGCAATTTCTTTCCATTTGTGTAACACAGACTTTACACAACAACAAAAGGTTATTTGTCTTTTTTTTTAGTCTTTTGTGAGGGAGCAATCACCTCCACATATTTTTATTCAAAGTCATCTACTAGTGGATTTCACACAGAGGTGTGCTAAAAAAAAAATCAGCAGTATCAATTCAGTTTATGTTTATATCATTTTTCTACAAAACATTTTCCGGAATGTCTAAGCATATACTTCCCCTAGTTTAATTACTATGTACTTGGTATTCTATATCGATTTTACTTTTCAATTATGGCTGCTACTCCACATTGTAAATAAGTTACATTTATGAATATACAGTTTATGAAAATGAAGTCAAGTCTATGGATATCTCTTAAAATAGTTTAATAACTTAAAAGGTTTATAAAAGCTTTCATTTTGTATTTAATTCTTGAAGTGTTAGATTATAAGTTTACAACAGTATAACATTAGTTTAAGATTCTGGGCAAGAAGTCGTAGCATTAGAGCTGACAATAAAGTTTGTCAATAAAGAGAAAAAATGTGCAAAAGGACACCAGAGTCTCCTTTTCCTGCAGGGAATCCTGACCTTTGCTCTGTATTTGTGTGCTATTGTGGCTTTGTGGGTTCTACAAAGGTACTGTTAATAACAATTATTTTATTTTTAGTGGTGTGCAGTAATTGTCTAAAATACTGGTGTCATTATAGGCTTTCTTGCATGTCTACACTCAGCCCAGCATTTATAACTCAGTTAACTGAGGATGGACCTCAGTGGTGAGCTGCTAAATCAATCAACAGACTTCAAGGCTGAACTCTCTGGAGGTCCACGGGGTACTCCGATGAACACCTGTATCCATGGCAGCAAGGTCAATGGGAGGTGTCTTGAGCACATGGGCTATCCCCAGGCAACAGTGGGTGGCAGTGCTACCCTTTCAGAGATGAGGCCGGTAATAAATAAATAAATAAATAAATAAATAAATAAATAAATAAATAAATAAATAAATAAGCAAGCACCAGATAAGACTAAGAACGTTTGTTTATACTCGTGTAAACAAAATCAACATGTCAGTTTCCTGTACCTTAAATTCCCCGGGACAGTATTCTGCGCCCCTGGGGTTAAGATAACAGGTGTTATGTGTGTTCCCTCTGGGTTAAGGAACCAACTCTGACGGACTTCAGCATACAGTGCTGCAAACTTAACACAGGAACCCACTACACCCTAAGGTAGAATGGGAAGGAAGGCAAGTGAAAGGGAAAGAAACAGACAGTCTCACCTGAAGTCAGAGAAATGGATGAATGACAGTCTTGGGGAGTCTCCTGGGGCTCTGGCATCTGACAGAGGACAACAACTCAGAAAAGAGATCTTGAACACTCTGGATATCTATCATCCCAGCAAAAGAGAGACTGAGGCAGGAGCATCACAAAACGGAGGCTAGCCTGAGATAGAGTGAATTCAAGGACAACTTGGGCTACTATCTTTAAAATAAATAGACATTCTGGAATAAAAAAAGCAGTGTGACTTCCCTATACAAGCTTCTTTTTTTTTTTTTAATGTATTTACCTTTAGTTTATATATATTTGGTGGGTTTTGCCTGCATATATATCTATGTGAGAGTGACCAATCTTGGAGTTACAGACAGTTGTGAGCTGTCATGAGGGTACTGGGATTTGAACCTGGGTCCTCTGAAAGAGTAGTCAGTGCCCCTAACCACTGAACCATCTCTCTGGCCCCGCCACTAGTTTCTTTCAAGGACTAGTATCAAAAGGTCTCAGCTCAGGATGCAGATGGGCACTCAGTAGCCACTACTAAGCTACCCAAGCCCACTCAATGTCCTGCTCAGTGTTCTGAGGCTAACCTTTGCCCTGTATCCCGCCATGCACTGCCCACATTCAGGGTCACAAGCTGCCCAGGTCTTTGCTCTACAATGGGCTTTTGTTCTGTAGTTAGAAATTGGTTAATATCACCACCAAAAAATAATCAAAAGGGAAGAAAAGCAAGAGTGACACAAAAAGGTAGCAGATATTTTCTAAAATACATTTCACTCAAAACCGAGTTAGAAAATCTGGGGGCTTGCATTGCTCCATGTTCAAAAGCAGTTTCCCTAAATAGGGGATGTCTTTCCTGTCTCTTTCCCACAGACCTGTTTTAATTAGGCAGAAACAAATTCCTCTGAGCGGGAATCTCTGTCCAGGTCTCTGGAAGTGTAACAAAATGGTTCACAGCTTCATCCAGGGACCTTGCAGACTCCAGGTGATGGGGAGTTTGTACCCAGGGAGATCTGGACCTCAATAAACAGGCCTTTGCCAAACGAATTACATTAAATGCTGGTGGAGATGCGTGTAGCTGGAACTTAGAATTTATGTTTTTGCTTTCTTAAGACAAAGTTCACAAGCCTCTGGTCCCTTTTCACTCCTGATGAGTCCAGTCTGAAAGAGCTGGGGTGGTTCCATTTGAAAGGTCCCAGTGACCACCAACCACCACCCAGGTTTCTAGAATCACAGAAGAAACATCAAGGACTCCCAGGTGAGGTCCAAGCCTGAGGGAGACTTCTCTTAGCTTTCTACAAACAACCTCTTGAGGAAAAAAATAATAATTTTTTTAATGTATTTATTTATTTATTTTTTTTTAGGTTTGAGCCAAGAGCAGAGAGGTAATCTTGCAATCTTCTCTTGGGGAAAAGGCTCTGCAGGTCCAGGCCACCGCTCAGCCACGCCCTCCGGTTTCTGTGACGGATTAAAGTCGTCCATTCCCAGAGTGGGACCTATAGCAGAGACCAGAGGAGGAGCGCAGCTCTTTAAGAAAGCGGCAAGGCCGGGGAAAACTGGGACCCTGAGCGGAGACCCACACCCACAGCAGTCTGTAGCTCAGCACCATGTCCCTGCAGGTAAGCCGGATCTGGGAAGGCCAGGCAGGAGCGATGCTCAGAAGGAAGCGCTCTGAGCCATCGCGAGGGCAGGCGTGCCAGCCCCGGGGCAGACAGGTTAACCCGGGAGCGCTCTGTGCTGCCCTGCAGTCCCTCTCACACCTGCCTGAAAACGCCTCTTTATTGCCCTATAGACTGCATCTCACCATCTGTTGACGAGGACCAGGATCCCCATAGCAACCCCTTTGGGGCCTCAGGGATGGTTTAAATTACTCAGATCTGAAAAACTGACAATCTCCCGGGGCAGGGGGCGGGGGGGGGGGGGGGGGGGGGGGGGGCGTGTTCTTCATCTCTTAACAACTCAGGGAAGCAGGTGACATCTTTGGGAGTCTCCGAATCCCCTTGTCCCTGAGACCTCCCGAGGTTCTCACAGGTGTTTTTGTTGACTAGCAGGGCTAGTCTATGAAGCTCGGAACTTACCATTTTATTGATAGAAATGGAAAGAGAATAAACATGACTAAATAAGAACCAGGGAACCTTTTCCCCAGTAGATAACTACATGACAGGTTGCTTCCCTGTGTGTGTATAATGAAAGGCATGTGACCACAATACACCTGTGACTTGTTTCTGTACGTAACAGTTTTATTAGCATCTTCTCATGAAATCAAGATATACTTTTGGGGGTTATGTGTGTGTGTGTGTGTGTGTGTGTGTCTGTCTCTCTTTCTCTCTCTCTCTCTCTCTCTGTTTTTTTTTTCTAGGCAGGGTCTCTCTGTGTAGTCCTGGGTGTCCTGGAACTCGCTCTGTCGACCAGGTTGGCCTTGAACTCACAGAGATCCACCTGCTTCTGCCTCAAGAGTGCTGGGACTAAAGGTGTGCACCACCACCACCTGGTTTAAGATACTCCTTTTTAATGCATAACATTTTACATTACGAGTATGGCAAATTTTATTTATTCAAGCGAGATATTATCATGGGTGAATGACATACCCCAGAGACATGGAGGCTTGAATCTCCCTTAGTCTGTATATGTTACTTTTCATGTGTGTGTGCGTGTGTGTATGTGCGCGCGCGTGCGTGCACACGTGTGTTACCTGCATGGGAAGTGTTCAAAGCCACATTGGATAAGGGTGTGTTTAGTTGCCTTAAAAATATTTTCATTGAGAACTTAAAGGTTAAAGACCATCACGAGAGAACAATAAGCTAAGACATGTGAATAACCATAGCAATAGGGCAGCATTGACAAAGTTCAAGTAATTAAAATGGGTACAGAACACGGGTTTCTACTGCTATCAGTGTTAAATGCATTATTAAATCTATTATTGGTGCAACAAAAGCTTTCTTTCACGTCAATAAAATAAACTTCTAGTTAAAAAAAAAAAACGCATTCTTGATATCAGCATCGGCAGTCAGCGAATGCTTGAACTGTAGTCACTGTAACCGCTGACGCTTAAAGAGTGAGGGCTACCAGTAAAATCTCTTCAAACATTCTTAGTAGGTCAATTTGAAATTCCTCCCACTGCAATCATATAACACAAGAATGCCGTATGCTACCCTGGGGCGGAACTCCACACCTGTGATTCTCAGTACAGAGGATTTGGAGACCCGAGGGGCAGGAGTCCGAGGCCATCTTTAATTGCATGGTGGATTCCAAGCAGCTCTGTGCAACACAGACCCTGTGTCAGAAAAACACAAAGTCATTCAAGCAGAAGACATGGCTAAAGGCAGGTTAGAAGCCTGTCTAAGAATACAGGGCATGTGTGAATTAGCTGGTAGGGTACTTAGTACTCGGAGTCCCCTGGGTTCTTACCACCTCTAGAAAAACTGAAGTAGGAGGGTCCTTTAAACCTGGATGTTCCAAGGTAGCCCAGACAACATAGGCACATAGCCAAATTCTAATACATACACACACACACACACACACACACACACACACACACACACACACACA